TGACGGTCACAGTCTAGGCAGAGTCAGGAGGAGGTTTGGGGCACAGTGAACATACGGCGTGTTCAGGGCGCTGGGGGCCTGGGGCGGGGCGAGGGGAGGAGCCAGGGAGTGGAGGTCCGGCGCCGAGGGCCCACAGCCGCTGCTGCAGCTGCCGAGACTCAGGTAATAATGGCGCAGGCACCTGGTGGCGGAAAAGGTACTTTCCCCCGGACGCAGAGCGCGTGCGTGGATGACATGGGTGAATTAGATTTACTGGGCGTCCGAACGAACGCGAACCACCCAACAATCCAACCCTGCCACGATGTTACCGGGCCTGAAACAGGAACTGAGACGAATGACCTTTGACCATTTTGGTTTTGACCCAAAGCGTTGTTCTGTATGAATGATTTTTTGTGGGGGGGAAAGCGAAGTACCTGGCATGCGCGCCTAGGTAAAATTCTACGTCAGGTTAACAGAATGTAAAAATGAAAAACAGAAACGCCAAAAAGGGAAAGAAAGTTTGGCTGGAGAATGGCTAGTAAACTTGCCTGCCGTAGCGTTGGAATTTGTACTTTCATCTTGTTTTATTTCCCTGGAAAGCTATTGGGAGAGTTATGTTCGAGGATGCTTATCAAGATTTACGCACTCTGCTAATTTAACTTATCACTCAACTCGAGGTTCTATCAATCCAAGGGGTTCAAGTGCATGGGACAGTGTTTGAGGATGCTCTTCCAAGTTGAGGGTTCTGAAATTTAAGTTTGTTCCCTGCAAGTAACTCTTGGTTGCTGGGTCTCTCAGAACAAATGTTTATGGGAAAAATCAAAGTTAAGCATTTCCCAATTATCTTGCATCCATAAGGATTATGCTTCTTGTGTGTCTGTTATACTAGAAAATTCCTTTGTGAAAGTTCTAGTCAAAGTCCAAAGTTGCTGGCTGGAATTAGAGTTAGGAGAATTGCAACACTCTGTTGCATTCCCCAATATGGTCAGATAGTTCCCCAGACTGTACCGAAAACTCTGTCACCTGACTTGGTCAGGAATTGACAAAAGCCACTTATCAGCAAATACTTACTGAGCTAACTTGATTTATGTTCCCAGTTCTGATGGAGCCACCTTACCCTTAGAAATGGAGGCTAGATTTTGCAACTAAAGGGGGACTGGACTTCTCTTCAAATACCTGCTTTTATGTGACGTTTTCTGTTCCCGTGGATAAATCATTAATTAAAATTTAAAAAGCAAGACTCACTGTGCTAATATGCACTCATAGTGACACTATAAGACAGGGTAGAACTGCTCCTGGGAGTTTCCAGGATTGTAAATCTTTCTCCTGTAGCGTGATTGCTGGTTTCAAACTGCTAGTCTTACAGTTAGCACCCCAGCTTGATAGCACCCGAACCAAACAACCAGGGCTCCTTATCATGCATTATAGATCCACCCACAATAGCATGCAAGTATAGTCCAGAAGGGTCCCTCAGTGATAGAAGCTACTTTACATTGGATTCCTCACCTAAAGTTAGTGATTTATCAGCAGATGGACCCAGCTACCACTACCAAGTGCTCCCAAAGGAATCCCACTAGAACAGTGGTTCTCAACCTGTGGGTCGCAACCCCTTTGGGAGTCAAACGACCCTTTCACGGGGTCCCCAGATTCATAACATTAGGAAAACTACAGTTATGAAGTAGCAACAAAAATAATTTTATGATTGGGGTCACCACAACCTGAGGAATTGTATTAAAGGGTGGCAGCATTAAGAAGGTTGAGAACCACTGCGTTAGAAGGTCCTGGATGGAGTGGGAGTGAAATGAAGACCAAAATTCAAAATCATAAGAGACCCTGAGTCCAGAAATGACCTCACCCCCTTAATAGACTAACCAGCCAAGTAAGTAAGATCAAAAGGATAGTATTTTCCCAAGGACAGCATTTAGGAGATGGGAGGACTGGAAACCGGAAAGCCTTGGAGGAAGTGGAATAAGCGATAGTGCGTTGTTGTTGTTGTTAGTTGCCTCAAGTAGGTTCCAGCTCATAGAGAACCTGTGTACAACAGGATGAAACACTCCCTGTCCATCTCACAGTCGATTTTATATTTGAACCCATTGTTGCAGCCAATGATTCAATCACTCGCAAGGGTTTTCCTCTTTTTCACTGCCCTTCTGCTTTACCAAGCACGGTGTCCTGTTCGAGTTGCTTGTTTCCTTTCTCGCACTTACTCAATCTGTGTGCTGAGCAAATAATCCAAGAAGCTGGGGTTATGAAGAAGAACTTGGCTTCATATTTTGTTTTCTTGGAGGAAGGCTTTTTAATAACCGTCACACATTTTTTCATGCTGAAAGTGAAGAGGACTTGAAGCACTTGCTGATGAAGAGCAAAAACTGTAACCTTCAGCATGGATTGCAACTCAATGTAAAGAAAGCCAAAATGCTCACAACTGGACCAATAGATAACATGATAAATGGGGAAACACTGAAGTTGCCAAGGATTTCTTCCTTTCTTTCTTGGGACATGTTGCATTGGGCAAATCTGCTGTACAAGACCTCTTTAAAGTCTGGAAGAGGAAAGATCCCTGGGACTTGAGGTGCACCTTTTCCCGCCCATCGTATGCATGTGCAAGTTGGATATTGAGTAAGGAAGACCAAAGAAGAATCAGTTCATTTGAATTATGGTATTGGCAAAGAATGCTGAAAGTACCATGGACTGCCAGGAGATAGTACCTTAAGGGGCTTGAAATGGTTAAGTCAAAACTGATGAGGGTGGGGGGAGAGTGAAAGAGTTAGTGTGCTGTTCATTAAAATACTAGAAATATACCCATTTAAGATTTAGTTGTTGGAAATAAAAAATGTAGCAGTCCCCTACTTGAAGTGAAATTGCTTCTAAGCTTAATCCATAGAGATGGTCTTCTCACTCAGGAAGGGGGTAACAGGCCCATTAAGGTAGGTAAGTAGGCAGAAGCATCCCCATTTAGATAAGTAATGGAGGAGGATACTTAAGGGGATGTTGGTCTGGTAACCCCTGAAGAAATGTCAATATTAATACTTGCTTCCTGTAATCGATGCACAAAGGTGCTTTTTGCCACACATTTTGGTATATAACTTGCTTGGCTTTCACTAGATTTTTGAAGCAGTTTCTTTCCTTCCGGTAACAAAACAAAATGTGTATTAATTGTTGGATGTAAAACTGATGATCTGCTCTGTAAACTTTCACTGAAATCACAATTTAAAAAATTTTTTTAATACATAGTTAAGCAATTTGAACCCACCAAGCAGTACCTTACAAGAAAGGGCTGGTGTTATGCTGCAATCTTAAAAACCATATTGGTTGTTAGAGTAGAGTAGAACTCACTGCCCCATAGGGCTTCCGCATTTCTCGCTAATGAAGATCAGCTGATGGGTTTGAACTGTCAACTTTTATACTAGCAGACATGTGCTTAACCACTCCACCACCAAGGCCCCTTGTTCCAGAAAGCCTAAGCCAGGACGACCTTGCGAAGCAGTTCTACTCTGTCACCCAGGGAGCCACTGCACAGAATCAACTTCAAACAGTTTGGCTGTTCGCCGTATGGTCGGAAAGCAATTACTTTTATTGATAATTTAAAGAGAAAGAAACATGCTGGTATGTTGTCTTAATATTGCAAAGTTGACATTCAAAGAGCAAGCATTTTCTTAATGCAGATTGATTTGTAGTTATGTTAATTTGTACTTATTTGCAGTTATGTTTCCAGGGTCTGTCTCTCTTTCTTTCAAGTCCCTTCGTTTTCCATACAAAAAAGAAACTACAAGAAACTCATAAAAAATATACAAACTGTGGAGACTATCTACTGTTGCTCTCTCCTGAGACACCACCAAAACATTAACTGTAAGACTTTTTAGTATATGTGCTGCCGAAGCGAGCACAAACTGTAAGACTTTTAATGTGTGTGTGTGTGTGTGTGTGTGTGTGTGTGTGTACCTAAACTACTAGGATGGGTATTAGGACATGAGACAAAAGCTAAAAAGCAGATGGTCTTGTCATACAGGCTTTAGTCTGCATTGAAAACAGCTGAACTCCACACCAGCACTGGGGAAAGGCCGGAGCAAGGCTATTTGCATTAAAAACGACCAGCTGCTTTCCAGTCCATGATCACGTATCCCTCAGGGATTTTCATTTGCATCTTTTAACCCCACCAAACTACCACCTGTGGCCACATGCGGCCGCCTGGGTGCTTTTGCCCCGTTTTGGTTTTTTACTTCAAAATAAGATATGTGCAGTGTGCATAGGAATTTGTTCATAGTTGTTGTTTTTAACTATAGTCCAGCCCTCCAACGGTCTGAGGGACAGGGAACTGGCCTCCTGTTTAAAAAGTTTGAGGACCCCTGAATTAGACATTAGACATAGTAGTGGTTACGAACTGGGCTGCTAACTGTGAGGTCTGAAGTTCAAAACTACCAGCTGCACCAACGGAGGTTTTTTTATTCCCCGAAAGAGATACAGTCTTGGAAATCCACCAGAGCAGGTCCAACTAGCCCTATAGGGTCACTAAGGGTTGAATCTAACCGATGGCAATGAGTTTGGCTTGGTTTTTGGACTGGGAGGTAGAAGGATGAAGTGGTTGAAAGTGGGAGACTTGCTTGAATTGAATTTAGAAAAGACAAAATCGACATAGTTCTTTTTAAATACGTAGCCTCCAGATGCTAGCCCCTGCTGACCAGCATGCTTATTATTCCCTCAAAATCTCATTATCAACCGTATAGGACGGGGTAGAACAGCCCCTGTGTGTTTCCAAGACTATGAATATTTACACGAGCAGAAAACCTCAACTTTCTCTCCGAGAAGTGGCTGGTAGGTATGAACTGCTGACCTTGCTGCTAGCAGTCAAACTCCTCAGTGCAGCTCCTCACTTAAGGGTAGGAGTTTTTTTTCACTTGTGCTTGAGAAGCCCTGATCCACAGAGTTTTCACGATGCGGACCTTTCAAAAGCAGACAGCCAAGCCTTACTTCTGAGGTGCCTCTGGGTTGGTTTGAACCGCCAACCTTCCTGTTCATAACTGAGATTTTAACAGTTTGGGCCACCCAGGGCCTCCTAGGATAGGAGGGCCATACCGGCAATGAAATGCGGAGCTCCTCCCTCTCTATGAGCCTGCTTTTCTCACGTGGCTATAGAACTGTGGCCTCGAGGATGCAAAGGCCCTTGGAAAGTGACCAGTATGAAGGAAATAAAAGCTATGGCATCTAGGTTTCCAAATGAAACCTGATTACATCATCCTGCAGTGAAGCCCACAGTCAAATGACCCCCACTTGTGTATTTAAGGCTGCATTTATTTATTTATGTTTTGAGTACATTTAAATGTCTAGCGAGCTTTGGGTACCTGCTTTTCAATTGTGAGGATGGCCTGGGACCAGACAGTGTCTCGCTCAGGTGTGCATTGGGCCCCGCTAAGTCAGAAGCAAACCAACAACATTAATGTGAGCTGTTATTAAGAGAGCCTGGCCATTTGATGAAAAACTTATTAGAAAGATAGAAACCAAACAAGCCAATATGAAAAGCAACTTGGAAATAAAAGGCTATACAGATAAGTGAAAAAATACCAAGGGGCTACAAAAAGTTTGTGGGGGGAAATGGAATGAAAAGATAATAGAATTTATCCACAAACTTTTTGAACCCCCTTCGTATTTAATAAGAACAAAATTATAGATAGCGTCAGACAATGAAAAGGAGCTCCTGACAAGACTTTCTAGCTCTAAAATTACTGAACTCACTACTATCGATCCTAACTCATAGCAACCCTGTAGGACAGGGTAGAATTGCCTCTGGATTTCTGAAACGGGATCTTTTCCCCTCCATAGTTACGTAGCTTTCAAAAGGAGCTGTAGATACATCATCACAATCCGTTCTTATGCTCCGCCTCCCAGATTCATTGTTTACGCCCCATTTCCCCCTCACCTCCCCTTCACTTCCCCATAAACCATTGCATCAGTTATTGTCTCTATGCATCCACTCCTGTGCTCCATAAACTGAGAAACCTAACAGAAACACTACAAAATGAAAATGAAATGAACTGTGAAGAAAATAATAATATTGTAAGGTAGTCAAGAGGTGCCAGAGACCAAATCAGTCGAATTTGAGCAAACAGGCTTTATTAGGGAGAAAAACCCAGCCTGGGCAAAGTCCCACAGTCCACAACGTCCGGGCCGAGGGAGTCGCACTCCAGACTACAGGAGTGGTGTTTATATAGCCAGGGAACATGTGACTGGGCTGCTTTGAGTCCATATAAGGTAAAGTAGTCAGGGATTGGGAGATACAGGGATGTCTGGGTTTCTGGAATGTAAGGTGTCTTCCTGGTTCCGGGTGTATTCGTGAGGGTGCAGAGCGGAGGGCCCAGAACAAAGCGGACACAGCCAAATGAGCCATGAACAAAACACGCAGTGAGCAAAATGGGCTGTGAGTAAAAGAAAGAAAAAAACTTGCAAAGCTGCTTTACATAGCCAACTCTGGTCAGCTCCACAGGTATGTGTGGGAGATTCAAGGTCACTTGCTGCTAGAAGCTGGCCTGGTATTGATCTGGCCATACACAGGTAAAGACAAAAATTAAAATAAAGAAAAGACCACCAACAACATTTTAAAAGCCAGAAAGGAAATTTCTATTGTGTAACCAGTGAGAAATATTTGAGCCTAGAGCAAATTCTGGTTGGGTCAAGAGGAAAGGCACCTGACTAAGTACCATATTATACCATGGTTCCCTCCACCATAATCAAGTTCACAATAATTTCTGTCTGCTGGCCAAGCTGTTTGAGGCCCTCACCTGTGGCTAGAGGGGATCTGCCTGAGACTTAATCTGACTAGGCACTCTGCAGATGAATTTGGGCTCCCACTGTCCTCCATGGCCTTCTACAAATTGGGTGTTCACAATTTAAGCTCTGTTACTTTTCATATATGGATTTTGTTGTTGTCATCTTTGGATCACACCAGCTAGTGTGCTTCCTCCATATAGACTTAGTTGATGTCTCACTCAGATGTCTGCTTGTGTGGATACAAACCTTTAAGACCCCAGGCCAGGGGTCCTCAAACTACGGCCCGCTGAGGACATTTATCCAGCCTGCCGGGTGTTTTTGCCCCATTTGTTTTTGTACTTCAAAATAAGATATGTGCAGTGTGCATAGGAATTTGTTCATAGTTTTTTTTAAACTGTGGTCCGGCCCTCCAACGGGTCGGAGGGACAGTGAACTGTCCCACTGTTTAAAAAGTGGGTGAAGAGAGACGTCGGACAGGGCAAGATATGACAAAATAATAATTTATAAATTATCAAGGGCTCATGAGGGAGGGGGGAGCGGGGAGGGAGGGGAAAAAAGAGGACCTAATGCCAGGGGCTTAAGTGGAGAGGAAATGTTTTGAGAATGATGAGGGCAATGAATGTACACATGCACTTTACACAATTGATGTGTGTATGGATTGTGATAAGAGTTGTATGAGCCCCTAATAAAATGATAAAAATAAATAAAAAGTTTGAAGACCCCTGCCCCAGACACTATTCCAGTTGGTAGTTGGGCACCATCTGTTTTCTTCACCACTCTTTGCTCTAGCACCCTTATCTTGATCCCTTCATAAAGGTGAGTATTGAGCAAGTATTAAACAAGGCCATGCTATAAGAACTAACAGTTCTTGGATTAGGGAGCCCACATCTATCTGCTTGTCCCTGTGTTATAAATAATTCTGGTTTACTTTAGTGTTCATATTATGGCAAAAATTAAAACCAACAAGAACAACAGCAATAAAAAAACAAAAGGCAGAAAACAATGAAACAAAAAAAGAAAAACATTGTCAATCATCCCTCTGGGGTATAAGGTGACTGCACTGAGAACATCAATCATTTATCCAATGGCATAGAATTTCGGGTACTATTGATATGAGGAGTTTATGTGATTGTCGTCCAACTGTGAGCTGCAATCCATGAGTAAGTGCTTTCTAAAGATTGATTTCTTATATGATTGAGCTCTGTTTACACTGAGCGTGGGGGTTGGTGCTGGGGAAACTCCTGTGTCACTTTTTACAAGGGAAGTTCCTTGACTCTCATATTAAAACCTGTCATGTTAATGTGATGTAAGAGGAACATTGAGGTACTATATAGGTGGTGGTCCGGGCTCCCCTTTCATTGGACACCCACTAGGCTAGGGGCCACCATCTGCCATTTCCACAGTCTTGGGTTCTACTCTGACCCATGGCGTTGCTATGGGTCCGAAAGGGCTTGGCAGCACTGAGATGGCAGCTCGCTGCACGGGAGAGAGAGAGATCTTGGGTGGCTGCTTCAAGCCTTCAAGACCCCAGTCACCGCTCACCAAAGTTGGGTTTAGAATCTTGTCTTGGTGGACTATGTTATCCCAATGGACTTTGGTGTCCTCTGAGCTCAAACATGCTGTTTCCAGGCTCACCTGAAGGAGTTAAAGATGGTTGTCTCACTGAGAATAGAGACAGTGGCTGTAACAAGCCTTATTGAAGAAATTAACTCTTTAAATTGAGCGCATTCTAACTTCTAGTAATAAACACTAAAATTTTAAAAGAATATTTTCAATAGGAGATTGGATGAGCTAAGAAGGAGGGAAAATGAAAAGCTTGTAAAAGTTATATATGGTGTATGAGCCCCTAATAAATTGATTTTTTTTTAAGTTATATGTGGTGGAGTGTCCAGTTACTTTGTTGTTCTCTCCTCTAAAAAAATTTTTAATCAATGCCTTCTACTCTAATGGTAAGATATCCAAAAGACAAAGCCAAACTCACTGCCATCAAGCTGATTCAAGGAGTAGAAAGCCTCCTCTTTCTCCTGTAACAATAAGATAAAATACAGCATATTTAAGGAGCTATCTCATATGCAGTATAAAGGGAGACCTTTACCATCGGGCTCATTGAAAGCCCACTTTTTCTATGGCTTTTCCTTGGATGTTGAAATATTTTGAAACGCACACTGGGACGTTGGCCCTGGTGCCATAGTGGATTATGCATGTGAGCTGCTACCCAGGGGTTGGCAGTTTGAAACCAGCAGCTGCTCCCCAGGATAAAGATGAGGCCTCCGCTCCCATAAAGCTGCAGAGGCTCAGAAGCCCACGGGGGTGGTTCTCTTCTGTCAGATTGCGTTGCTGTGAGTCTGAGCCGACTGCATGGCAGGGAGTGAGAAAGACAGACGGTTGCTGGTTGTATCCAGCCATCAGTAGGATTGTAGGGCCCTTCAGAGCGGAAATGGTGATTGGTATTGTTCATCTAGGCATCGGTGAGGCAAAGGTGGTGCCAACAAAACCATGGACAAGGCACGAGCATCCCTTGAAACTAAAGAGTACCCGGACGGCGGCATCCAGAGGGATGGAGCACTCACTCTGGAAGAATGGCAGGACATGTGGGTGACCCACCAGATTGGCTTCCATCAGGAAGAAGGGCATCGGTAAGAACTGTGTGGTCTGTGACAGCAAAATGGTCTCTGAAGACCTGGCTTTGGAAATAGAGGCACTCGATAAATTTGAGTGATTTTAAGATGCATCTCTCTCTCTCTCTCACACACACACACACATACCTCATTGAATGTGTGTCTGTGTGTGTTTGTATGATATCACACACAGATGTTAGGGCCTCTGAAATCAGTGACATGTTAAAATGTTATAGTTAAATTGGCCGTGTTTTCTCATCCCACTGCGTATAAATAATGATGTGACTTGCCCATTGTTGGCAGCTCAGATTTATGAAATATGTCTGTTATTTAATCGCCTGTGGTATCTTTATATTCCTCTTGCCTCTTTATTATACACATGCATAAAACATGATCAGGCCACGTGTATGCTGAATCCTCCAATGCTGGATGTTGAAAAGTATGCAGTATGTTGGCTCTGCTTGCTGATAGTGTAGGTTCCGATGCTGAAGCACCGTTGGGGTCAGTGTTTCCCAAAGCAGGTGATAGTCCTCTCTGGGGGGCACCGGGGTGATCCGTGGGCGACAAAAGCAGATGCTGACACTTTATCCTGGATTATGGGCTGTAGTACAGAAGTTTTTAATCAATGTGCATGGAGGGGTGACGCTGAGTGTTTATTTTTTTATTGTTTTCTCTGAAAGGGGAGTAGTAGGCTGAATGAGTTTGGGAACCTAGGATCTAGATAATGGAAGATGGGAAGTTCAGAGAAAAGGATCCTTGAGCTAGAATGTTAAGCAATAAAGAAGTCGCCGTCTTTGTAGCCGGCCACAATGCTTCCTGGGGCCAATGCCCAGTCAAGCGATCCTTACAGACTTGCCTTCTTTTCATGCAGCCCCCTCACTTTCCCCGGATGGAATGGGGACACTTGTGTACTAAGTGGCAGCTGGGGTATTATGTTGAAACCCTGTTTCCTGGGTTCTTTTTCCCATGTTCCTGCATCAATGGCTGTAGAAGAGCCTCCTCTCCACAGGAAGAATGACCTACAAGAATTGAACTCCCCAGAACTCCCTCTGAGGAGAGCCTAGTGCACTCAGAGAACTTCCCTTAACATGAAGGCTGAGAAGCGCATGGGCTCAGTGGTCCCCTCCCTTCCTCTCCCACCAAAATACACACTTAGGTGTTAACAGATAATTTTCTAAATCGGTCATCAACGATGAAAAAATATATAGATATATATGTTTTTTTTTTAGTTTTAATTTTTAAGCAGGAAAGCCTTGGCTTGAATCCGTGTTACCACTTGCTGACTGTGTGACTTCAAGGTGCTTCCCTGTTCCTTTGCGTATACACTGGGGGTTGTAACCATTGGTGTTATCTGTATTGTTGGACCACTAAGGAAATCCTACGTGAAAAGTATAGCTGGATAGATAGATAGATAGATAGATAGATAGATAGATAGATAGATAGATAGATAGATAGCACTGTGCAATCATAACCCTTTGCTCTGTATTTTGGGCTTATTAACTAAAAGACAAACAACTCTCCCTCCGCAGGTTACTCAAGAAGCATTTGGATACCTTTCTGAATGGCAAGAGTGGACTCAGGGTTTTCTTCCCTCTGTGTGGAAAAGCAGTGGAAATGAGATGGTATGAGCAGATAAGTATAAATACACACACGCTCGGCCCTTGATGAATTATTTGGGTCATATGTAACAAAACATCGGTTAAGACATTCTCTTCTGAGGAATTGCATAGGGATTCTTTATGTTCAGTAGCTGAACATATAACATTCTTGATGTTAATGGAGCTGGAGCCCTCTTGGTGTAGTTGGTGATGCAGTGGGCTGCTAACCAGAAGGTCAGCAGTTTGAAACCCCCAGCCCACTCTGAGGGAGAAAGACCAGCCTTTTTTTCCCTTTTTTAATTCAAAGATCATTTTCTTGGGGGCTCTTACACCTCTTATAACAGTGCATACATCCGTTGTATCAAGCACATTTTTACTTAAGTTGCCATCATTTTCTTTTTTTTTCTTTTTTTTTTTTTAACATTTTATTAGGGGCTCATACAACTGT